AATCTCTACTACATTCACAAATAATACAGCTTTATTTACAGAGTCAAACACTTAAAGCATCAGAGGCTGGTTTCATGCCTCCCTTCACATCATTTCCGCCTTTGGCTGTTAAAGGAAACTGTCTGTAAAGTTCCAGTTTAAACCTGCTTTCAAAGAGACGGAATCCAGGTGACTGGATGCATGCAGGTAAACTGCACTGCGGCGTCCACACCTGGCAGTTTAATTCAGACCTGAGGAAAGGAATGCATTCAGAATGACCCACAGATACCTGCTTCCTACCCTGTTCGTACAGAACAAACTGCATCCTGTGAAGCAGCAGAGATTTCCCATAATGCTCTCCTAGTTTCCAGAAGCGTTCAGGGGAACGCATTAATGCACAGCACTGCTGAGCAAACAGTTCTGCCCTGATAAAACCTTCCACTGAGACGTTCCTCCACATACCAGCCGCCTCCTGCTACCCCTCCTCTATGTGCAAACACCTGAAAAATGGCGGCAAAGAACCTGCTTTCTGAGAGCCGTGCAACACGTTTGCCTTCATATTATTCTGAGTCTCCTGCTTTAAACTCGGCCAGTAAAACCATGACGAAATCTTTGTTTCGCTTTCTAACCAGAACATGTAAATTAACAGCTCAGTGAACACAGAGATGCACAGATGACGAAGCGAACAGAAGCAAAACCAGGAAACACTCATCAACCCCTAAAAGCTAATGCTAGAAACACCAGGGGAGGCTAACCTGGACCCAGGAGAGTATTTATCAGATACCATGGTGAAGATTCTCAGTCATCCAGGTCAAAGTCATTCCAAAACAGTTAAAAACAATCCACCGGAGTTTGGTTCCAAGTTTGAAGACGTTTCTCTTCCCATTTCAATTGGGAAGAGAAATCTTTTTCAATTCAAAATGTCAGAAATAGCGTTGAGTTCCGGGTTTTATACAGCAGCCCAACAAAGCCTTGTTTTTGGTTTAGAAAACATGCAAATTAACTCAAAAACCTACAATGCAGCGATAGAGTTGATCCCTTCCCTCTATCATCGTAACCCCTTTACAGGGGAACAGAAGAGCTCGCCTATTCAGTCAGGCCAACAATTCCCTCTAATAACCCCCCTTTCAGAGACATAGACAGTTATGGAGAATTGCAGGCTAACAATGAAGCCAAACGACCCCCATTCCAAAGGGGGGGACCCGTTCATCCGTTTCTATTTGCATGTTTTCTAAAGACTTTGTTGGGCTGCTGGATAAAACAGAGGT